TTTTTTCTTCAATTTTTTAAACTGTTTAATGAGGAATAAAATATATATATATTTACCTATTAACATTGAAATTATGATTGTACAGTCCTACTGATCCATATCAATAAATATTAACATAATTACAAATTCTGTAATTGTGTACAGAACACTTTTTTTTAACGTTATTTAGAAGTTTTCACTCTTCTGATAAATTGATTAATGTGGCTTAAAATGTTCCATCAAATGATACGTGTTATTCACTAAACAAGAATTTTAGAAATGACAGAGCAACGTTTACATCAAAATGGGCAAATATCATTAGATGCCGACAAGGCATTCGACAGGCTCTTAGGAGGTTTCCTGTTCTCTGTCTTGACTCAATTTGGATCCCCCCCAAACTTTCTCCAGGCCTCATATGACTCTTCTATGAGAGATCCCATGTTGCCGAACATTCCTTACCCTTTTCAATAGCTAATGGCAAAAGACAGAGCTGTCCACTGTCTCCGCTTTTATTTGCTTGGTCTCTATAACTGCTATTGCAAGCGATACAGATGAGAAATGTGTTATTACTAAAATGGAGGAAACAGAGAAGCTGTTAATATCTATCACTCTTCATAATCCACAGAAAAAGAGAGGGTAATTAGGATGGGTTGGTTATGCAATTAAACTTCAAATACTGTATTTCATTTTTCCCTACAATCATCACTAATTGTATAAGGGCCCAAAACCTCCCAATTTAAGTGCTTTCAGTGGGGTGCCACATGTTCTTCTTGCTACAGTGAGAATTGGGATTGGTAACAATATACTGGCTGGCATACAAATTAATTTACGCAGCCATAAGCTCAAACATGCCATCTGTCAAACAGGCTAAAATGAATTTCTGGATCATAGCCGTCAACTCTGGTTGTGATGCCAGTGGTTGCCAAAAAAATGGGGGTATACTTAAGGGTCACTTAAATATGGTGTGGCATTCTAAATACTTCCTGGATGGTGTTACAGTGGGAGCACCATGATAAGAAGGCTTGCTCAGGGGCTCTACATCTGACGCAGTGTCTCACTGTCAGACGTCAAATGAGCCACTCTTCTCTGACTCATGCATCACCTCCACCGCAGTGTATTAAAAGGCCACATTAATTTAGGGGTAAAAATAATAGTTTCCCTGCCTGCCCAACATACACTCTCAACCAACACCCCAAATCCCACTTCCACCCACAGAAACATACGCTCAAAACCGAAAAAGAACAATTAACCACTGAACGCAAAATAAAAAGCTGCCATTCGCACCGAAAGGTTTATTTATTTAAATTAAGGGAGGTGGAGGGGGTTGAAATTGGTCAGGGTTGGTAAGAGAAATCTCTGACACACTATGCAGTGATCAGAGAGCAGGAAAGGGTTAAAAACCATACAAACCATACAGAGGTTAAAAGGGTTAGATTAACAAAATCTGCCTCCCCCTTGTAGTGAAGGACGTACAGACACGTCCCAATGGCGGCATTGGGTTACAGTTGTCATCACCACTGATTTAACATAAGTCCATGCAGAAGTTACTGCCCAATGACGAAACACATATGGTGGAGTTGTATGGGTGGACCGATTTGTAAATAGTAAAATAAGTTCCATGACAATTAGATAAAACAAAAGTTGTTTGGTAAAAAAAAAATTCAAGAAAATGTAGATACACTAAACAAATGGAAAGCTTTTAATGTTGTATAGCAAGCTATTCCTTATAGCATACTTATCTGAACTAAAATCTCTGCAGAGCATATGCAATATTACACCTAAGCATCTGTGTAATATGCGTTTCTGATGCAGTACAAGTGCATTATAGAACATGCAGGTTAGGTGCAGTGGTAAAAAGGGAGTGGTATGCATGTACAGTAACCAGCTAGAATTAAGAATTACTTTAGAATGGGGACAGAGAATGAAGGCTCAGAATGCTGAAAAACACCTTTCTTACCAACTGTACACAATGGAGAATGCAATAAATAAATAATTTAGGCCAAAAGTATTAAAAATAAAAAGAATGTTGAGTTGCTGCTTGGAGTGTCCATCATTATTAACATATGCACACAGCAATAGACTTATTTCTAAATCTCTATAAAATTTGCTTTACATAATGCACAGACACTTACCTTTACGATGCTTCTGGCAGAATTCTTGCAGGCTGAGATCCGCATCTGTTAACATGTTATTAATTTAGGAAAAGGCTCTGGACTCTGGAATGCATTTATGTGAATGTCACTTGCCACAGGATTCCAATGGAATAAGTGGAAATCACTTTCTTGGACTGTGCATGGACTACATTTACAATCACACAGTGCACACACAGTATAGGCGTTAGTGATGATCATCATTTATTCAGTTAAAGGGACACTATAGTCACCAAAACAACTTTAGCTTTATGATGCAGTTTTGGTGTATTGATCATGCCCCTGCAGTCTCACTGCTTAAATCTCTGCCATTTAGGAGTTAAATCAAGTTGTTTACTGCAAATATGGATTAAAAAACAAATTTTACTTACCGTAAATTATTTTTTTCTTAATATGGTGGCAGTACCATCGGGTTTTGCTCCTCCCCTGTGGACTAGCATCTAGCAAGATTAATTTCAATCAAAGAAGACCCTCCCCCTTGACCTATAAAACAGCTGTACCGAAAAACCTACCCCAGTAAGTAGCAAGAAAAAAAAAAGAAAACACAGACCACCAGTACTGCAAAATAATTAAATATAGAGGGAGGGAAGCCATACTGCCACCATCGGGATATAACAAGAACCACATCCGGGCGGGACTTATGCCACAACAGCTTGTAACACCATACGCCCAAAAGCCGCTTCAGAGGAAGAGAATATGTCTAGCCGATAGTGTTTGATAAAGGTGTTGAAAGAAGACCAGCATGCTGCTTTGCAGATTACTTCTGGAGAAGCAAGCACCCTTTCTGCCCATGAGGTAGCCATAGCCCGGGTGGAATGGGCCGTAAGCGCAACTGGAGCCTGAAGACCCCTTGTTGAGTATGCCAATTCTATAGCCTGAATGAGCCAACGGGATAAGGTGCCGCGGGAAGCCACATTCCCCTTGAATCGACCTTGAAAATTAATAAACAAGTGGTCCGAAATTCTGAAGTCTTTTGTTCTGGCAAGGTATATAAGTAAAGCTCTTCTGACGTCCAATTTCTGCCATTTGAGCTCTTGGGGAGAGGAGGCCTCACTACAAAAATGAAGGCAAAAATAAATCAGCTGATTAATAGACTTAGAAGACAAAACGGCCTTGGATGAAGAACAACCTTGTCTTTGTGGAAAATTGTAAATTCATCCGAGGAGGACAGAGCGTGCAGTTCTCCCACTCTTTTGGCCGATGTGATGGCCACCAGGAATGCGACTTTAAGAGACAAATTTTTTTTAATGGAACTGCTTCCAAAGGTTCGAAGGGTGGAACACAAAGAGCTTGTAGGACCAGGCATAAATTCCAGGCTGGAAACATGGATCTCCTAGGAGGACGTCTGAGTCTGATGGACCTAAAAAAAAATCTTCTGATGAGAACATGGGAGTCTAAATCCCTAATTAGGAAAAGAAACTTAAGGCCGATGTCTGAACTTTTAGAGTACACTAGTGGAGAAACTTAGTCCAAATCCGGAAGTAGACTTTCTGGTAGCGCGAAGTAAGATAGCTATTCTGTCTTCTTGTAAACCTTTGTTACGAAGGATTAGCCTTGCAGTAGCCAATTTTCAGCACTTCCAGAGGTAGGTTCCTGTTCACAATAAGGGAGTTTGATATGGGAAGTTCCCAATGAGCCGTGGCCATCTTCTTTAAAGCCGAAAACCAGACCCTGTTTGGCCAATACGGAATTATTGCTAACACTACTGCTCTGTCTGGTCTTACCTTGAGAAGGATCTTTGGGATTAAAGGCAGGGGCGGAAAGACGTAAGCCAGACTGAAGTTCCATACCATCGATAGACCATCTATCCATAGTGGTTGGTCTGTTCTGAACAGGGAAGCAAATCCGTGAACCTTTGCGTTCGAAGCTCTTGCCATCAGGTCCACTTCCGCCATTCCAAATCTTTCTTCCAGGATTCTGAATATACCTGGGTTTAAAGGACCATTCTTTCTGATCCCACTTCCCCCGGCTTAGATCGTCGGCTATGACATTGTCGCTCCTTCTTATGTGAACTGCCGAGATGTCTTCTAGATATCTTTGTGACCACTTCATAATTTCTGTGCATAGCATGTAAAAGTTTCCTTACTTTGGTTCCTCCTTGGCGATTAATATATGAGACCACTGTACGATTGTCTGATTGAATCTTTACCGCCTTCTGTTGCACCCAAGGCCTGAGGTGACGTAGGGCGTACAGTACTACTTGTAATTCTTTGAAGTTTGCAGATTCTTCTGCCTCCTTCACGGACCAAATTCCCTGAAACATGATGGTACCCAGATGAGCTCCCCAACCTGTCTTGCAAGCATCGGTAGTGACTATTATCCAGTCTTTTGGGCGGAATGATAGGCCTTTCCACCAAGTCAGTTGAGCTTTTACCTGAGGGGATAACCGGAACCTTTTAAGTCTTCCTCCTTTTTTGACCACGCAGTCAGAATATTCCACTGTAGAGGTCTGGTCTTTGATCGTGCCTATTTGACTGCTGGAAAATCGGCAGTTAGTAGACCCAACACTCCCATGGCCTGTGGAAGGAACAGCTTTTCACTTTTTGGAGACTGGAAACCACCTCTTGAATTTTCCTCCTTTTTTGTTTGGGAAGATGAATTGTCAGGGAGAGTGAATTGATTCTGAATCCGAGAAACTATTTCTCTTGTTGGAATGAGTACTGACTTTTTTAAATTCAAGATCCAACCGTGATCCTGAAGAAACCTGATAGTGGTCTGTAGGTTGTTGAGCAGAAGATTTTCTGTCTTTGCCATGAGGAGCCAGTCGTCCAGGTATGGGATAATCGATATACCTAATTACCTTAAATGAGCTGTAAGTGGAGTCAATATTTGCGTAAATGTTCTTGGGGCAGATGACCGACCACGAAGTGCAGAGCTCTGAACTGGAAATGGTCGAAGGATCTTCCCCTCTTTATTGCAAATCTTAGAAATTTTCTTGAAGCAGTAGCAATCGGAACATGCAGATAAGCATCCTTCAAGTCTATTTTTACCATAAAGTCGCCTCTTTGAAGGAGATTAAATATAGAGGCGATCGATTCCATGCCAAACCTTTGATAAGTGATGAACCGGTTAAAGTGTTTTAAAACCAAAATGGGACAAAAGGAGTGGTCCAGTTTTGAAACCAGGAATAATCTTGAGCATACTCCCTGAAATTTTTGAATTTCTGGAATTCTCTCTATAACCCTCTTTTGCAAGAGTAGCATAGCTTGAGAAAACAGGGCTTGTGATTTTTTGAAGACTTGTAAGTCGAGACCAGAAAGTTTGCTCTTGGATTCTCTGTGAATAAAATCTTGTGGCCATGCTGAATTAACCTTAGAACCCAAGGGATGTTTGTGGTTCTTTCCCATGTCTGAAAAAACCATTGGAGTCTTCCTCCCACTCTTCTGGTGTCAGAAACACTTATCTTTATCTCTGTAGAATTTTTTAAAATCGTCTCTTTGTTCAAATCTCCGATTTTTATCTCTTCTTTGAAAATAATGCGGTCTCTCTTGATAGGATCTCCTGTATTTAAACTGGGAATGCCTATAACCCGATCTCCAAGAGAACTTATCTTGAGGTAGAGCTCTTTTAGTCTCTGACATCTGCTTAATAATATCTTCTAAAGGAGACCCAAATAGCTTTGTTTTTTCAAGGGGAAGCTCACAAAGGGCTGATTTAGATGCCGAATCCGCCGACCTTAACCATAAGGCTCATCTTGCTACATAAGACAACCCCATAATTCCGGATGCCAGCTTAAGAACTTCTACCAACAAAAAATCATTAGACAAGCGCATGATCTGAAACATGCGACTAAGCTGTTTATCTTGCTCTGTAGATAAAATGTCTTGTAACGTTTTTAACCAAATGCCATTTGCTCTGGCAACCACTGCTCCTGCCAGTAAAGCCCTGCATTGAAAACCGGCCGTCTGGTAAGCTCGCATACAGGTGGTTTCAACTCTTTTATCCATTGGATTCTTCAAGGCCGAAGTTTTCCCAGTAGGAATAGTGGTCTTTTTAGCAAGTTGAGCCACCTGCACATCCACTTTAGGCAGATCGTCCCAGGCTTCTTCGCCGGAAAGTCTGAAGATATCTTAAGGCACGTTTCTTAGGATTTTTCCATTCCCTGAATATTAAATACACTAGGGTTTGTTGAACAGGAACCCCTTCTCCGGGCCTTCTGGTAAGACCGCCAGGTTAACTTCCTTTATGAATCTATGGAGTTCCTCCAGAGGAAACCCCAGTGATTCACCTGAGGAGGAGCCCAACCAATCTGAATCTATAGAGGAAGAACATTCTCCGGAAGACGTCTCAGATACAGAGGATGATCTTCTCCTTTTCTTAATTCTCTGCTTTACTTCCTGTGTAGTAGATTCCCTGTTTTAGGACTCTTTAATAGTCTCCAAGGTCTGTGCCAAATTTTTCTGGAACCAGTTTAGGAAAGATAGCATGTCTTTTTGCTTATCTCTTTCCAAAGCATTTGCAGTACACTGACTGCATACCTTCTTCCTTGAGCCGTCTGGAAGAGGAGTTGCACACTCACTGCAAACTATGTGCTTAGAATTTCATTAATCTTACCTCAAAATACCTCTGATCCGTGTGGGGGGCTGGTGACACGGTGTACCTCCTCTGACTAGCATCCATGCTGTTAGTGGGTACCTGCACAGCTATATATATCACAAATACACACAGCCACCCGTGAACAAAGTGATCTGTGTAAAAAAATATATCCAACACAAAAACTTAACTTATGGGTACACTGCTTCCCAAGGTTATTTCCCAGCTGATAACCATATGACAAAACTGTATAATTGATAGGATATTTTGGGATTCTGCTAGTGTACCTACAATAGAGAATAAAACAGTGCAAATATTGCTTTATACGATAAAATAATCTGATGATTAATATGCACTCACATATTCCAAATTGGTAAAGCGTATTATGGGTGCCTCCCCACGATGTAGATGGGTTTTTCCCTTAAATATCCCTCCTCAAGTGATAGCCAATGGGGTATCAAGGTCAGCAAGGTGATCCAGCAAACTGCAACCAAAAGAATACTTCAAAGGTGATTTATTCACTTCTTAAAATCAGGAGGTGTACAGATAAAAATTATAAAAGCAAATATGAAAGAAACACTGGTCCTACGCATTTCGTCCTTATACAAAAGGACTTCCTCAGGGACATCTTTCAATAAAATACAATCACAAGTACAAAACCAAAAAGCATGCTTTTTGCTCCTCCCCTGTATTGCCAGAACCATTCTCAGCATGCTTTTTGGTTTTGTACTTGTGATTGTATTTTATTGAAAGAGATCCCTGAGGAAGTCCTTTTGTATAAGGACGAAACGCGTAGGACCAGTGTTTCTTTCATATTTGCTTTTATAATTTTTATCTGTACACCTCCTGATTTTAAGAAGTGAATAAATCGCCTTTGAAGTATTCTTTTGGTTGCAGTTTGCTGGATCACCTTGCTGACCTTGATACCCCATTGGCTATCACTTGAGGAGGGATATTTAAGGGAAAAAACCATCTACATCGTGGGGAGGCACCCATAATACGCTTTACCAATTTGGAATATGTGAGTGCATATTAATCATCAGATTATTTTATAGTATAAAGCAATATTTGCACTGTTTTATTCTCTATTGTAGGTACACTAGCAGAATCCCAAAATATCCTATCAATTATACAGAGATATATATATATATATATATATACACACATACATACACACACACACACACACACACACACCTGCATTACAAATTTTGTTCTTTTTTTTTCCAGTTTAATAAAGATTCCGGTTTTCGCATGCATTCTGGCGCAACCAGAAGCTTAGGTGGAACGCAACACCAGCCGGGCGTGCGTTCCACCACTGTGCGCCTGCTCAGCACTTACTCCGCCTCCAGGAAGTATTGCCGGAACCATTCTCAGCATAAAAATCAAGTCTCCACTTGCTCCGTACCCTTACCGAGAGAAGCATGGTCTCTCAGCTTGCCACTCGGGCAGCTCTCAGAACGGATCCCCCAGGCTAGCAACCTGTGTGTCTCACCATATAGATGACATGTCCTTTCCCTCTCGGGACAAGAAAGGAAACTGGGGTAGGTTTTTCGGTACAGCCGTTTTATAGGTCAAGGGGGAGGGTCTTCTTTGATTGAAATTAATCTTGCTAGATGCTTGTCCACAGGGGAGGAGCAAAACCCAATGGTACTGCCACCATATGACAGAAAAAAATTCTTATCTCCTGCTCTGTTAATAGCTTGCTAGACCATACAGAGTCTATTGTATGTAATTAGAGTTCAAATTACAGAGCAGGCCATTTTATTTTCAGGCAGGGGAGGTGTGGCTAGGGTTGCATAAACAGAAACCCAAGTGATTTAACTCCTAAATGGCAGTGAATTGAGCAGTAAAGTTCCAGAGGCATGATCTATACTAGGCATAGGCAACCTTCAGCACGGCAGATGTTTTGGACTTGCCTCCCACGATGCTTTGCCAGCATTATGGGGGATGTAGTCCACAACATCTGGAATGCTAAAGGTTTACCATCCCTGATCTATACACCAAAACTGCTTCATTAAGCTAAAGTTGTTTTGGTGACTATAGTGTCCCTTTAAGAATCGCCATACATACTTATGTGACAGAGAAAATATAACCAAGGAGAGAAGAGCAAGTACAATTGTAAAACAAAACACTGTAACTACTAAATGATTGTCTAACATTTGGTCTGCGTGTAAATACTGTGCCTTATATACTCTTTAAAAACATAACATCTGTAGCAGTGCTGAACACATTAATGACACAGCTTTAAAGACTTTTTGGGGCAAGTAGTTCGCGCACATACCCTTAAGAGTCCAGCACCTCTAGATTCTGTTCTCGGCTCCCTTGGAGATATCAGTACTGCAAGGTATCAGCATAGGACAAATACATAAAGGAACAGACCTATGCATAATATTACATGTAGGGTGTGGGAGTATCTCTGCCGGCTTTATTTACTTTTAAATGTTGTACCCGAAGAGTAGTTTTCCTGCTAACTTATACCTATGACGCACTTTCCATTTGTGAGACGGTCATCTTTTGCATGATGGCTTTCGTATTTGGTGTTATGGATGTCTGCTTTTAGAATATTTCTTGTTACATGAACAATTGCAATATGACTTAATGACCTCCTGATCATGTCTGATCCAATTAGTTTAGAGCAGTAGAATCCTGTTAACTTAGAGAACCAGTATATAGAGCTTAGACACTTAGTCAAAATCCTGTGTATGATGTTTAGTGTACTATAATCTGGTTGGTATAGTTAAGCATTGTGTTGTTGGATTACTATGGCAATATTGGTGTCATCAAGCTTTTGGAGCACAAGATCCTGACACACTTGCGACAGTTCAGTAAGGGGAGGATAATCCTGCATATTTCACTTACTTTATTGCGATTAGGGAAGTTTTTTTTTAGCTTTGGTTAACCCTTAGGTCACTGCATTCAATGATCTTATGATTTCCTTACAGTATGGTAATCTAGATAGGCATGAAAACTCTCACACCAAAGTCTTTGTTGATGCGCATACACAAAACTACAGTTTTAAATTTTACTATGCTACTTAAAAATCTAAACAAATATGGGATTAAGATGCATCAGATGGCCATATCGTGTTAAGCCCAACACTACACCACTGTGGCGTAGTGGTGAGCTTGACACGATATCGCTATACGGTGCAACTGAATCCCCATATTGGTTTGCCAAGATAGTCGATTTTAAGTAGCTATGTAAAATTTAACAACAAAAAAAAGTGTGTGCGCGCTGTTCCTTAATCGGTATACATTTTGGTCTCTATGGTAGCACCACTGCTAAGAAATGCATGTTCCGAGTGTGCCACCAATTCCCTTTTTATCAACCAATGTCTTTACAGTCTTTGACGTCATGTTTCTTGATAGATCTTTCTGTGGGATACACGCGCATCATAATTATGGCACTAAAGTTTACAAGCAAAGGTGGTGAAAAGGGAGTGTTTAGATTAATATTGCTGCATATTTAAAGGGTAAGTAATATCTTCTTTTAAAGCTCTGGGCACCGATAATGAGTAATAACGTATAACATTTTGTCGTCTATTAAGCTCTTCTGAATTAACTAGGGTTGCACTAGTAAGCCGTCATCATTCCCGTTTTGTTCCTATCCGAGTTGTTTTGTTTGTACATACAACCTGATTAATGCAGAAGTGGGTTTCTACATAGGCCTGTTTACAATCTTTGGATAGTAATTAAGGCAAGCTAGCCCAACAAATTTATTATTGCTGTCCAAAACTAGACAGGCTGTGAAGTTCACTTCTCCATTAGCCAAGTTGCAGCACCAATAACAAGCTGATTGTATTGGTTATTATGCCAAATTATGTAAACTTGTTTGAGTGACTTAGTTTGTCGTTTTATACATAACTTCCAAAAGTTTAAAGTCCAGTTCTGCAGCAAAGAAACCCAATGTGCTTCTGTGAATAGCTCTATATACATAGAACACCCAGTATGTACCCTAGTGTGTGAATAAAGGAACGCTATGGGCGATCTATGTAATTTAGTTTTTTGTTTTGTTTGTTTTTAATATATGCCCTTCCTCAAGGCCAATAATAAAGCTAGATACACTACATGGACCTGACCATTACATCAACAGGGACTTTTGTTACATTGCATTCTAAATGCATAGACAATTAGGTAGTTGCTCCCCTATTTGCAGCTATGACAGCTTCCACTCTTCTTTGAAGGTTTTCCATGAATTTTCAAGTGTTTCTGTGGGAATTTCTGCCCATTCATCCAGTAGAGCATTTGGGAGGTCAGGCACTGATGATGGACAAGAAGGCCTGATTTGCAAGCGCCGTTCCAGTCCATTTGATGGTGTTTGATGTGGTTGAGGTCAGGACTCTGTGCAGGCCAATCAAGTTCTTCCACACAAAACTCATCAAAAATGTCATTAGGGACCTTGCTTTGTGCACTGTCATATTCATGTTGGAATAGAAAAGGGCCTTCCCCATAATGTCCCCACAAAGTTAGAAGCATAGTATTGTCCAGAATGTCTTGGTATGCTGAAGCATTAAAATTTCCCTTTACTTAAGTAAGGGGCCTAGCTCAAACCCATATCATAGTCTTCCTCCACCAAACTCTACAGTCGGCACAATGAAGTCAGGTAACATTTTCTTGGCATCTGCCAAACCAAGACTCGCCCATCAGGCTACCAAACAGGGAAGTACAATTCGTCACTCAACTTCTCAAGAATAGACTTGATCCGAATCTTGTCATTGTATTTGGTGATGTGAGGCTTGCATGCAGCTGCTTAGCCATGGAAACCCATTCCATGAAGCTCCAGTTTCTGTGCTGATATTAATGGCAGTGGAAGTCTGGAACTCTTTAGCTAGAGAAACAGCAGTCTTGGCAACTTTTACGCACCAGGCGCCTAAGCGTTCTGTGACGATGTGGTATTCTGCTTCGTGGCAGAGTTGCTGTTGTTCCTAAACGCTTCCACTTTCCAATATTACCACTTACAGTTGACTGTCGAATCACCAGCAGGTTTAAGAGTTCACAAACTGACTTTTGCAAAGGTGGAATTTTATCACAGTACCACACTTGATTATACAGATATATTTGTAAACGCAGACTGCATGGCTAGGTGCTTGATTTTATACAGCTGTGGCAATGGGTCTGATCGAAACACCTGAATTCAATAATTAGGAGGTGTGCCCCAATACATTTGTCCATATAGTGTAAATATGTTTTCCCCTATAATATATATTCTAAATACCTGTCCATTTATACAGACTAGCAGCTCATTGGCTGCCATTCTGTTACTTACTTCAGAATTCTAACCAGTTTCCATTTAGGAGATCCAATCAGCACAAAGTAACTCTGTGAGAAGCATTATGCTGCTGGTGACCATTTCATCACCGGATCTTTGAAAACAAACCGCAGGCAGAAGTTAGAAGTGCAATCTCCCCCCATATAGTTAAACACAGAGGGCACATTTTAACTATTTCTTGCAATCTAGTCAAGTTTCTCCAGTATTGTTAACAACACAGATCACAGTCGGGAAACAGTTTAAAACTGTATAACCATGGGCGGCTGGATTTACAGCAAGCAGAAAGAGCAATATCATAATGAGGAGGAAAGAGAACGGACTGGAAACAGAGTGCAGGTACGAGTTGCAAGGAGGTAGCTGGAGGGCACTTGCATTAGCAAGTTGTTATTGGTACTAATGGTACGATCATAATTAGGAGTGGGAGAGAAATGTGTTAAGCTGATCTGAATCCCATTCATAATTACGACATCAATTCAGTTTGCTACTGGTACCATTAGTGTCAACTGCATTTTGCCAATGACACGCAAGACACAGACATACAAACACAGTAATACTCCCCTTGTGTTTTCCCGCTGTCCTCTTCCATCAATCTGCAGGCCCCCTGTTTCCAAGCAGCTCAGTTATCAGTATCTGAGGTACATACATATTAAAAGACTAAGGCCAGTCTAAAATGGGGGTATGGCTAAAGAGGCAGGCATATGCAGCAGAAAGCTGCACTCTTTCTTTATTAACATTTAACTAGGGAGAGACATACAGCATATCTATGAGACCAAAACCTATCAAATGAAGCTGTGTTTGGCCCTTTAAAGTTTTGCACACATAAATCAATGTGGTACTTCCTTCCACTTATATCAGGAGTACAGCCAGAATCTTGATATTATTGCACTTTTAACGCCACGTTAAAAAGTTTAATCAACAGATTGTCTCAAATTTTTGATCATCATAAGACAGTTTGCAGGATTTCAGCAACATACATAAATATATATGGCAGTTATCGTAATATTAACGGAACAAACACCCATGCGGGAAAAATACGTAATCATAATGTAAATTAAACACCAACGATAAAAAGAGCATTAAATATAGACTGTTTCAAAGACATCAGATTTAGATATAAGATTTAATTCACTAAAAAATGAAATTAAAAAAATAAAATAAAATTGAAACCTTACACTAAAGACAGCAGCAATGAACAATCTCTCTCTTTTCTTATATTTCCAATAAAGCCATCACACCTCCAAATAATGCAACTCAGTTTCACTACAATTGCATATTTAGTGAATAAATCTCCAAATGATTTATAGGTTGTCATGTTGGGTTCTACAATAATTTTAATTCACAAATGCACACAATTTTTATTTTATTTTATTTTTTTAATAAGCATCTGTGCTAAAAAAAAATACCTTACACAAAAAGATACCTAGGTACAGAATATTATTGAGGGTGACACATTGACATATTTACATTTTGAGTAGGTCAGATATACTGGTCCTACACAAAAATTATAATTCCTCTGAAAATTATCTACAAATGACATGCTTGTAGCATAAAGAATTACATACTTATATTGTATATAATCCAGCTAAACTGCTTAAAAATAAATCCCATATAATAATGGAAGAAACGGTAAAAAATAGACTTTATCGTAAGCCTAAGTAACACAGAAGATTTAAGAGAGTCTTGGAATCTGAGACCTGAAGACAACAGTCACAAATGAAACGCTGGTGATCATAGAACAAATTGTTCTTGATTGCTGGTGTATTCTTCCTGATTATATAATATAGTGGAGCTCAACACTTCCAAAACATTACAGACTGACATCTGATGTGATAAAAAAATAAATCTGATAAAAGACAGAATCTGTCAAATAAAAAAAGGTTTTGAATTGTGTCCTTGACAATTTGTGGGATTTAGGTCTACCCAGGAAAATTTTACTTTTTGTGGGTGTTAACTAAAATACCGTCCCTTTTTACCAGTATATGTTGTTTGCTCTGTGTTGTTGGTTTGGTTTATATCTGAAAGGGATATTGGCTTTAGATTAGCCCATGGGTCCTCAAGCATTGAAGGTCTGTAATAGTTTTCCACATCATTAGACACTCTTTTCCCTCTGCCATGCGCTGTACCAAATGGTGTAGAAGTCCTGGGTGAACCCTTTGAAAAAAAATCATCAAAGTAAAGATATGTTCAATATTCGGCCTATAGTGTTCTACAGTAATTAATTCTAATAATGAAACTAATGTTACATGTTTATAACAGTTACAATTAAAAGGGCCAACAATTTTTTTTTAATGTAAATTATAAAAAAAAAGCCCCCACCATCACGACAAGCAGATTTTCACATTTACGCTACATATTTCATTATAAATAGGAAACCGTTTGGAGCAACAGTGTTTATGTCTGCAACCAACAAATCTTATGTATCAAGTGGTCAAAATGCAGGTTGTTGATAGTTCCACATCTTTGCTTCCAACCTAAAGAAAAGTTAAATCTGAAACTCAACAATATTAAAATTATAAGATTGACACACATTTGCGTAAATACAAACATCCTAGAAGAAAGACAACACCTTCTATAAATTGTCATGAATTATTTGTGTTCCTCTGTATAAAGCAGAAAATTATTCTTCATTTTGGCAGGTCTGCAAGTCATATATGCTTTGGGAAGAGAATTGATCCTTAACTATTTTGTTTTTATCACAATGGCAGCCACAAAGCATGTCAAGCATTATTGTTTCGCTATATCGGTCAGTAAGCCATGTTAAAGAAACACTCCATTGCCCAAATAATAAGAAATAAAATCACTATTTAGTAGATAAACACCCAAATAAACATGCATTTTTCATTAGGGGAATATAACAGAACAGCCTGAAAAAGCTTTAGATCTCTGCAGCATTTATAAGCCACCCTTCCTCTCCAGCACAGACTTTCCAATGCTCATTGAGAAATCTTTGTAAGGCAGGAGCTCTGGTCAATTGCTGCCTTTTGAATTTAGCTCCACTGAGCTAATCAAAGCAGAAAATAAGAGTTTGTCGGATTTACAGCCATGGTGGTGTAAAGAAGGTTAATTTATAAAATGTACCATTTTCTATAAAATGGAAACAAATAGATAGGGGAAAAAAAAAGGTTTTGTACACACAAAGCACCTCAGCAAGTAAAATGTCCCTCTCACTTTCTGGGGATAGTGACTGTTCCACTGGTTGTGCGGTGGCCTAAGGGGGGCCGGGTGAAGAAATTGAATAGAGGGCAGAGGGTGACAGAGGCACTTTACTTCCTTCAGGTGTTTTGACTGTGCCATAAAAAAAAAAAAAAAAAAGAAGAAGAAGGATCAAAAAAGTAAAAGGAAAGGTTTAAAGGGACACTATAGTAACCAGTACAGCTTATTGTATTTGTTCTGGTGATTATAGTCAGTCCCTGCAGGCTTTTTGCAGTAAACACTTTTTCAGAGAAAATGCAGTGTTTACATTGCAGCCTAGAGAAACGTCCACTGGCCACTCCACAGATGGCTACTAGAGGCCATACATTTCTCACTTTGGTGAATAACCAGGAAACCAGGATCTCAATCCAATGCTTCTTTCTGAGGATGCTTCTCATAGAAGAAGCATTAACGTTTGACATCATTATGCTGTGTAAGAATCATGAAGACCTTCAGTTTTGGAAAATTCTTCATGGGGGATCACCTATAGAAAATGTCATTAGAGGAGTGGTTTAGCCAAAATTTAAAAATTGCTGTTTCCCTGAAACGACGTTTTACATTGTAAGAAAAAAGGGACAGAGTGTATACTTTGGTGCTTGCATCATGCTTTTAAGTTCCTCCCTCATCCTATCAATCTTCAGCATAGCTTCTATCGTGAACAAACTGCATACACTTGAGCATATTAAAGGGACACTATAGTCACCCAGACCACTTCAGCTCAATGATGTGGTCTGGGTGCCAGGTCCCTCAGGTTTTAACCCTTCAGAGAAGCTGCTATGTTTACATTTGCCACTAGAGGCGCATCTGCGACACTGGAGGCATAGTATGCCTCCATCGCACAGAGCGTCCATAGGAAAGCATTGAGAATTGCTTTCCTATGGACACTTTGAATGTGACACTTTAGTAAATGCATTCTAAAGGCATGCAAAGCATCAAGGGAGTTACAGTTTTTCCTGACACTTTAGTGATCCTTTAAGGAGAATATTCAAGCAAAAAAAAATCCCCCCCCCCCCGCAAAAAAATAATCGAGCACTAGACCCTCAAACATCAGCTAATGTTATGAACAATGCAACCAAAAGAGCCCGACTTTGCAAAATGGAGCTCATCTAAAAGATGTAGTCTTATTGACATTAATAAAAATGTTATGGACTACTCAAACTATACTGTGAACTTTGGTCCACCCAATCTATGTAAGTTTTTTAAGTTCACCTTTTTTTTTTTTAATGTAGAGGTTTAATTAATTTTGCTTTTTGTATGTTGCCATCAGCTGTTACTCTTTACAGTAGATGGGAACATGTATTTACTTCTGCAATGCTTACTGGGTCACTACTGCATTAAATTGCATACATGTGTATTAGATTAATAAAGGATGTTTTAGGCTGTTCCATCGAGCCTTGTATTGTATTTTGACGCACATAAATGCAATTTCAACAGTAAAAATCTGAATACCAGAACATGGCATGTTAGGAGAAAGTGCACTAAGTCCTTGCCTCCTTTCCACTAGGGCACAACCATTCAAGCAGATGTCACCAGGAGGACATTCTTTACTAAATAAACTAAAAACTCTGCCACTTTAACAGAGTTAAAAAAAAAAAAAAGAAAATCAAAGCAACTATACTGTAAATAAAAATACATCATAACACAAAGCACCTTGTCTTAAATGTAACTGGATTACCACTTCAGTTCTTGGACAAGTACATTTTTTAAAATTTCCTAAACCTATTAATGTTTTTTTCCAGCAGAAAATTTGTTCCTGGAATGTGAAGCACCAGGAGTTGAAGAAAGAACATGACAGGACTTATGAGGTAGATCCATAGATAATTTAAAACTACAGCTTCCATGATGCTTTGTTAATGTAAATGCATTCTAAAGGCATGCAAAGCATCAAGGGAGTTACAGTTCTACATCTTGGAATCTATCTTTTGGACACCCCTGAAGTAGAACGGATGTCACCTTTGGAGGTCTTTGTGAAAACATCCATAGACCACTGAAAGTGGCAGAGCCCTATTAAATTATTCTTCCTAAACCCATTTGTTTAAGTTTTGAGCATCAAACATGAACACAACATCTATATAGACTTGTTCCAACACTGAACTCATGAGACTTTAGCCTGTTTCAAGTTTTGTGTGAGACTTTTCCTGCATATCACAAAAAGGTGCAAATTACAACACTAGACCCTACATGAACTCTCTCAGAAATACTATATAGCACTTTAAATATAAAAGGATACGAAACAAAATTATATGATAAATCACTCAAAATGGAAGGAGGAATTAAGATATAGGTGTCAATGTGTTGAATGAGCACTTCCTAAGACAAATACTTCACTACTCCTTTCTACAAAACACATCTAGTTAAAAAAAAAAAAAAAACTAACATCTTAGAACACTGATTAGACAAATACTGGATGATTACTGTATAGGTTGTACCTATCTCTGCTCCTACTTTATCAGTGTTGTTTTTACCTGTTTCCATTTACCTGATCCTCCGCGATCTCATTACAAAGGTGGGTGTTATTCTATTGTCCCTCGGACACTTCCCCAAGCAGCGCAAACCTCCAAGATGCCAACACATACACACTTTGTGAAGTCATTCAGATACTGCACAGTGGCTTAATCTAATTCACTGCAACTACTATAGTGTAGGGTGAATCTGACCCCGAGTGTAGAGTATTGAAAAGAACACAAAATGCAGATTACTAGAATAATTCAAACGGTTTTGTCATCTCTTGTTACTGTATAAGTATATCAGTGATATGGATTGAGTTGAAGTTAACAGAGTTACAGTGTTGGTCTGTGGAGAATTATCCATAGATCTCTAAATAGTATGTGCATGCACAAAGCTAAAGGGGTAATGTGAGCTTATGAGTCGCTAGGAGCTGAAAAAGAAAAAAAAAATAGCACAGTGCCAACACTTCAGGGACTCTATAGTCACCCAGACCACTTAAGCTCAATGAAGTGGTCTGGATGCTGTGTCCCAGGTCCCTTAACCCTGCAATGGTAATTACTGGAGTTTATATAAACTGCAATAATCACCTTTCACTGTTAGCTCCACCTCTAGTGGCGGTCTTTTAGACTTCCAGGTCGTTAGCTTGACCCAGCACTGAGGGACATCGGTGCTGGGCTCAGGTGACAGAACAGGCTTTTCACCCCTTCTGCACAGGATGGTGGGGAACTATAGTGCCAGGAAAAATAAATTCCTGGCAGTACAGTTTTCCTTTAAGTTTCATCCCCAGATGCAGCATACTGAGTAGGAGTGCCATATACTATAGAGTCCGCAAAATATGCAAGAAACTCCAAAAGTGACAGAACCACTTTAAGCCATATCACACACTTTTTTGAAAATTGTGCAGTAGCCACATCCACCCACCAAACTCCACACAGATTAGATTGACCAACTGCAAAACCTATACTACACATTCACCACTTTTTCTCCACATGAGGGGAGGAGGTGTGGAGGAGGGGGTGTCTAAATGTGTATTTAAAAAAAAAAAAAAAATGCGTACAAAGTTGTAAATGTGGATAATTATTAATTGAATGTATCTGGTGATTCCATGATAACTGCCCAAAGTACCCCAAAACGGTGTACCACTTTACATTAGTACAAAATAATATACAAACAATTTAAGGACCAATTTTCACATAATGTGTTATTTAATACAAGCCTAAATTAATGCTCCATTCCCGAGCCCGTTTAATAAACTAAACTGACAAAAAATATACCCCTGATCATCCCCGTTGTCGTGTTTGGTTTGCCCTCCTATGATGTGCCCCCCTTGCATGGTGTGGCTGCGGAGCGCAGAGACACCGTTTTCCCTCCCTATTACCTGGTAGCTTGCCATCGGCTGCCTGGGAGAGGAGTAGCCTCTGCCATGATGCTGCTGCTGCTGGTGGTGGTGGTGGTTCATGTTTCCTGCTCCTCCTGGTGACTTGTAAGGGGACGAGTTATACCGAGGGCTTGGCCTTCGGGTGTCTCCCGGGGACTGGCCGCCATACCTCCCGCCGTGGTAGTTCTGCCCTCCCCCGGAGGCTGAGCGCGGGGACTGACCCCCTCCCCCGCTGCCATAAGGCCTGTGCGGCCTCTGCCCGAAGGGCGGGGTGTGGGGGCTCCCGTAGCCCCAGTTTGGCAGCGGAGGAGGCAGCATCCCAGCGCCGGGGTTGCCCGCATAGGGTGGCGGACTGCGAAAGGAGCCGGGGCTCCCTCCACCACCATGGAGCGGGCTGCTAGGGGAGCGGAAATGGGACCTGTGCATGGCTTGTGTGCACTATAACCTGCTCCCCGGGGCCAACGTCTCGGAATCCCGCGCTCACTAACCGACCAAGAGCGCCCGGCAGGCCACAGCTTCCCAAAACACACACTGCGTACCTAGCAGGGCAGCACTTCCGCCTGGTCCTACTGCGTTCTATCGCCCGTCAACTTCCGCTCTACACCTCAGCGCGGCTCTGAGATAATGGTTCCGGCTGCAGCTTGTGCACACTGGTTTCATAGGGACCTCTTAGGCCGTGCAGGATTGGCAGGGACAATAGTCTATTGATACACAAATGTATGGCTTGTCATTCAAACCAATTCAATCAAACAAAGTCTGAATCAGCAAAGTGTGAAATGTTGCAAATTGAATTTAACTTTTTTCCTAAGGTGTGCATTCAAAATGGATTTTACATTAGAAGATTTTAATACAATGAAACTGAAAACATTGCACAAATATAAATACAAAAAATAAAGCCCACATAAATCAATGAGTTATATTTATTAGTTTGTTTATATCAGTACACATTGTTGTAGTGATCTAGTAAATAAAACTGGTTAGCAACTTTGATCACCAATGTATGTATCTTTAAATAGTGTTGGGATTAAAGTTTTATATAAAGCTTAAAATTGTGAAATAAAGTCAAATCCTGTGTCTTCATTCTACATAGAATAGTCTACTTCTATTTTAAATTTATACTATGCAGCAATGAACCACTGGTTCCTCCATACACACAGAAATTGTTAGTGTTGCCAATATTGATAAAAAATAAACATAAAAAGCCAGGAATCTCTCTCAGCAGTATAACATAATCCAAACATTCTGTAACCAATGTATTAGCAGATGCGTATTCTAGGGTGATTATGGTCTGATTGAACGGCGTTCTATCGCCTGGCTCGCTCTTAGTGCTTGTGTTTTAGGAATATTGGCATTGCTAACCATTTTTGTGTGTGCATGGGAGCCACTGATAGATTGCTACATACCATGGGTAATTCACTAAATTGAGAATTCAAAGTGAATTCAGGGTGAATTTCAAATTTAAGGCAAGAGTAACCAAACTGAAAGCCTAGCTAATTTAGAGAATTTACCTATTTCAACCTTAAATGTAAAATTCACTTTGTATTTTTACTTTAGTTATTAATCCTGACAGGAGTTATTTACTAAATTGTAGAATTTTCAGAGGACCTTGCACACACATTTTTTGGGGAGTGCTCCCACTCACTGCTTTAAAACAGGAAAGGCCCCAGCCCAGACAAATACAGTTAAAGGACCACTCTAGGCACCCAGACCACTTCAGCTTAATGAAGTGGTCTGGGTGCCAGGTCCTTCTAGGGTTAACCCATTTTTTCATAATTATAGCAGTTTCAGAGAAACTGCTATAATTATGAATGGGTTAAGCCTTCCCCCTAATCCTCTAGTGGCTGTCTCATTGACAGCCACTAGAGGCGCTTGCGTGCTTCTCACTGTGAAAATTACAGTGAGAGCACGCCAGCGTCCATAGGAAAGCATTGTAAATGCTTTCCTATGAGACCGGCTGAATGCGCGCGCAGCTCTTGCCGCGCGTGCGCATTCAGCCGGCGGGGCGTAACGGAGGCGGAGAGGAGGAGGAGAGCTCTCCGCCCAGCGCTGGAAAAAGGTAAGTTTTTCCCCCTTTTCCCCTTTCCAGAGCCGGGCGGGAGTGGGACCCTGAGGGTGGGGGCACCCTCAGGGCACTATAGTGCCAGGAAAACGAGTATGTTTTCCTGGCACTATAGTGGTCCTTTAAACAAAAAAGTAGGTTTGGGCACACCCAGTAGTTTCTTCAGCAGGTAGACTTTATTGTGGAGTACAAAAAAAATTAGACAACGTTTCAGCTCTCCTGAGTCTTTGTGAAGTCTCTTTGTCAAATACTAGGTGTGCCCAAACCTATTTTTTGTTCCACTAGTTATTTACTAAAGTGAGACTTGTTAAATTTAACTTTTAAGGTAAATGTTTCCAAACTGGAAGCATAGCTTAATGGGGGGATTTTTTAAATGTTATTTTAAGTTTGGCTGCTTTGGCCTTACCTTTAAAATACACTTTGATTTCCCAACAATCCTCATTTTAGTAAATAACCCTGCTAATATATACTGTTCTGTGTGTATTGAAGAAACGTGACCTTGTGAATTTCCTTCACATTTTTAGGTTTTATATAAAATTTCAGTTCTGACACAATTGTTTGAACTGCAATCATTGCTTCCCCCACCCATCCCCAATTTGCATAGGTTGGCCAAAATTTGCAATTTACTTTCAGGGTGATCAACTGAACTCTGAATACTCATTGTGCTGATTAGCATCTGACTTTAGAGAATAACCCTGTTGTTTCCAGACCATAATCACATTTGCATGCGGATAGGCAGGATATGAAAAGTGGGGTCTTACAGTATAAGGTATATGTCTTGGAGGGTGGAGGATTGTCTTTTGTAATTACGTTCAACCTTGATATTAATGAGTTAATTTAATTCACATATCACCTTCGTTCTGCATGCTTTAGCGCAGCATTTTTCACAGAGATTATCGTAAAATCAAGAAGCAAGACATGGAGTAACTTTTCTAAGTAAAGCTTGAATCACCCAGCTAAAAAAAAAATCTCTCAGTTACTAAAAAAACTGTAAGGAAACAGGAACCAATTTTTTAATTGGGGCCAACTCTGTCACTTCCCAGAATCCTTATCTGATGATTGAATAACACACATGGTCATCATAATTCTCTGACTTCCCTTTGTTTTGGCCCTACCCAATTCCTTATCAAGGGGTGATGTCAGATTCACAGTCTATTATAATGGTAATGCAGATTAAATAACATGGTAAATTCCTAATTTGATTAAACCCTTGCTTATCTTATTACATACTCATTGACTATTGGCATCTCTTTTTTCTTTTTTACTGTTTTTTTTTTTTTTTTTACCTATACCTAATGCTTTGTACTACATTTATGTTTGTATAGGCATTCTTTAATCCAAGAATCATAAAGATTCCAGTCTGCAGTGTCCATTTAATTATATACACTGCAACCGTGGAGATTCCTCATTAATGCAATGAGCCAAAAATGTTTCCATTCTCGCCAATTGTTTTATGGGTTGGTTTTGAATGTAGCTATATATTTGGACATAATGGTTTGTTTCTGGGCTCGTTTCACCATTTGGTATGACAGAAAAATAAAACATGTTGTGTTTCATCTTCCCCTGTGTTGATGCAGCAATGAGTCTGAGTAATCATGTTAAATTTTTGGACCCTTTTTAAAAAAAAAAATAAATCAAATTTCTGGACTTTTTAAAAATAAAAAAGTTTTATTTTGCAGTGCATATGCATATAACAAACGAGTGGTACTCCATCGGCAATCCTCAGGCTTTTTTATCATTTGTAACAATGAGGTATTCGGAATGCATGCACAATGTTATATTTTTTATGAAGAGGTTAAGCAAGATTACCATAGGGTAGTGATGGTTCAAAGCGGACACAGAATAATGCAATTACTTTCAGAGTTATAATAAAACAAGAGGAACAAGGTTATGACATGCAATTAATACCCTGGGTGCCTTTATGACTGTTAGGTAACTGATTAGCCACATGTGTCAAATGCAGATTAAGCAGATCTAGGGGAGATGTAACTCGGGTTGGCCACTACGAGGTAAGGGGTTAAAACGATAATACAGGCTGAGCATTATGTTGGCAGTGGTAGTGCTGGAGCTTAAGTAAGTGAACGCATACACTGTGCCAGAGGTTAGGTCAGACAAGGAAAATGGTGAACTACCTGACTAGGCTAATAGGCTAAAACAGGATTAGACAGTCATAATGCATGTTAGACATATCAGTAATGGCTAAGAATCAAGCTAAGGTAAATTAAAGGCATGGAAGTAAAGTCAGGAGAGAGAGAGGCCATGTAAAGAAAAAGTAAAAAACACATAATAACGTGTGGTTGGCAAACATGCTGGGTAGATGCACAGCCTGAACTTGCTCCATCCGCTTCATGGTTCTAGAGATAGCCTGTGGTGGTGCTTAGTGGACCCAGTTTGCGGGCTACCATGCAGGTCCTCGATCAGTAGGCTAAACAGCCATCCGACACGCTTGCTGGGGTCACTGCTTGTGTTTGGGCTCAATCCACTTGGGAGAAACGTGCAGCGTCATGAAGGTGAGATGCCTCTCCAGCCCTGGTGCTGTGGAGAACTGTTACCCTTTGCCACGAGCTGGAATCCGCAGGTGGGAGGGTCGATGGGCCTCGCGGGTTTATATGTGTGTAAGCTGTGTGTCTTGGCGGCCTCCCGTGTGTGGCGGTACCTGTGGGTCTTGACCTGTTGCTCTCAGCCCAGGTGGGTATCTTGTGAGTTTCAGAGTAGACAGCGTTAAGCTCCAGAGGTTTCCAGGCCTCTACTTGCTGCAAACTTGGTCCTTGTAAGTGGTACATGAATAGCCACAGCTGGCAGTGGTGTGAGCCAGCAGCTGAGCCCAGAATCGGTCAGAAATATTATCAAGGTTGTCCCTTGCTTTATTACTGGGGCCTGGCACATCAGGCTGCTGCAGCTGCATGCCGTGTGTAGCTGGGTATGATGAGCATCCGCCATCTTGGAGACCTTCACCCCGCTCAGCTTGTGGAGTCCACTGGGGGTGGGGGAGAGTGAGTAGTGTTGTGTGGCGACTTGGGCAGCGAAAGCGAAAGTGACTGCCTTTCCACTCCACCTTCACCAGTAGGCTCAACCCGTTGTTGCGCTTCCCGATATTCTGGGTGTCCGATTTAGTATGCACATGTAAGTGCCGCTTCCCCATTCTGTAGGGCTCCTTTGGAAGCTTCCCAGCATTTCAGCCTAAGATATGGCTATAATAGTATCCGCGTGCAGCAGGAGCTCATGCAAGGTATGTCTTGCTTGCTGGTCAGGCTCCGACCCTCGATGCCTAGACTTTTGTACATGGGACTATCAGATCCTAGAAGTCGTAAAGACAAGCCTACATATTGGTTAGTCACCTAGCTTTTGGTAACAGCTTTAGAGTGGAACTATTATGCATTATTTTCTACATTTTGGAACACATTGCAGAAAATCAGTTTACGCCATTTAAGTTACATTATTCCTGTTATAAATTACACATTTTAGTTGAATAAATTGCTATCAGTAAGTCACCTAAAAATTTCTTAGAACAGTTCTGACCCAAACTATTTTTAGTATAGTTTGGCTACCGGCCTGGTTGCCACTGTGCACTCGTGCACATCCACTGCATATGCTTCTCACACGCTAAGAGTATCAGCTGAAGGACTGAAGGTCAGACTTGGCACCATAACCACTACAGTAGAGGTTATGAATTGCTTTCAGTGTTCCTTTAGAGGGCTGCAGTGGAGGACATCCCACTCACTAACACCCTAAAATTAAAGAGTCCCCTCTTTGCCTATTTGGGACATAGGGGATTAACACCTCCCTGCTGCATCATTTGTAGGTGACACTATACAATATAATCTACTTCTTGGGCATCTCATAACAGCAGTCATCACTTTCTCTCAATGGAAGAGTGTGATCCACAACCGATATTAACAAACAAGCCTGGGCTTTGTGAAAAAAGATCAAGAGAATGTTCTTTGTTTCTCTGATAAAATGTGTTTCCCTTGTGTTTTCTAGAACTTGACCTATACATCTAGTAGTACAACATTTTCACTTTACATCTAGTGACTAACCCACCTACTTTATCCTGCCAATCCATCTCCATTCGTAGCCTCCACTTGTCCCCTCACAACATCCCCCAATCCATTAAACCTCCTCAGGTATCGCCTATGTCTTTTTATGATAGGGATCCTTTTCCCGTCCTCTCTAGTATATCTTCTTCGTATGTTTCAGTTCCAGGTTAATAACTTTTATTTCCTCTACCACATCCAAAACATAAAAGATCAAAATGTATTGCAATACTATTAACATTGTATAATTGTATGTAATCAGTCAGATATTTATTAATCACTTCACTTTAACTATGACATCAAATATGTTGGCCAAATATTCAGTCTTTTTAAAGCATCTCACAATGCACCACGACCACTACAGTTTACTTATAATGCAGAAATGTAATTTTTACATTTTCAACCTAACAGTTCAAGCACAATAACCACTACAGCTGTTACAGTTATGATCCTAGGTAGGAATCGGTACTGTTCCACAGTAAGATGCAGCTTACCTGGTTCATCCTGTGCACATCTACTGCATTTGGCTTCTCCAGTGGGATCACGTCATTGGATATGAGCATCAAGTAAGTTTTCTCTACCCAATGTTTGTGTTCTTGCATGTACATCTGGCGCATAACGGTACAGTTTGCTTTAGAGGTTATGGTGCTGGAGTGTTTCTTCAATGTGGCTACAGAGGAGCAGTCTCTGAGAGCCACAGTTTTATCAGACCTATCCAAAACAGTTTGAAAGAACACTGGAGACAGCACTTGCATCACAGCATCAAAAGTATTAAATCAACATAATAAACTAATGATCACTGTAGCGAGTCCCTGTACCCCTGGCTGTGATCTCCGCCAAGGGCCGCTTCCTCACTGGAACAGGGACAAACCTCAGCACTCTTGCCCTCAGTTGCCGCCTTGACTGGAGGTCCTGGAACCTTCCCTCCTGGAAGCCGATGGGAATTAGCTCTAGACACCCCAGGCACTGGACAACACTCAGTCCTGGGGAGTTCTAGTCCTTACAAGGACTTTCCCTGTTGAATCCTCTGCAAGCTGCAGAAGACACAGGAGTAAATCTTCTTTTCCCTCCAATAACAGGATGACACACAGTTTTGGAGTGTAAGCTGGAATAGGTTTTATATGACAATCCCCATGCAAAGGGTAATGCGTATGGACCTGATGGTGGAGTGATTTACAATGTCTGACTGAATAACAATAAGGTTACAGGGCATTACACTCCCACACACAGCACACAATCCCTCCCCTCTGCCTGGGAGATAATTTGTATCAGTAACTGTACTAATTCTATCCAATTATCTCCAAGCACAGAAAAAAACCATACTTTTTCAAAACACCCCAAAAGTACTCTAAAAACACATAAAACCCCACAATTCCCTGATAACCCTGATCTGGGTGACCAACATATCCAAAAATCACACAGATCAGTTCAGGGGTTCAGGAATTCTAGGAAGTCATTTATTTGACCGACCGCAAGCATGGCCCCATGCCCAAAACAGTTCCAGAGAATCAGGGCTTGCAGTCGGTCTAGTTCGGGAGTTTGAAAATGAACAAACTACTGAACATGGTCAATAGTCTTAACCTGGAGCTTGTTCCCCTCATCCAGATGAACGCTCTCACTGAACAGTGCCCTTCTAAGCTGAATAGAATCGACCGCAGGTGATGATGGAAGTCCAGCGGTGTTTGGGAGTTTTTGTATCTGATTTTAGTTCCATGAGATTCATGCCCAAACACCGCTGCCTGAGTTCATGCAAACAAGATGGCCGCCACCTCGTGGAATTGCAGCCACCCAGACAAACAATTAGAACACTGTGGTGAGAAACGTTCCAAGTTGTTAATAGGTGTTAACAAGCTCCAGGGTGATCTCTGGTTCGTGCGGTTGTTCGGTAATTCGAAGTGCGACTTCGAAAGTTTGAAGTGTGGCCATATAAGTCCAAAAAAGCACGAACAGAGACTTTAACATTATATCTCACCAGGTCCGTAGTCTGTGGGCAGGAGACTGGCAAGCAGGCTCCTCCAGGAGCTCGTAGCAAACTCCTGTGAAATGGGGAGTTTGTCACAATCATGGACCATGTTCTTTAAAGAATCTGGAAGCATGTACCAGACATCAAAAAGAGGAATAACATTTTTTTTACACCTATTAGCAAACATTTCCAAAAATAAATAGAAAAGCCTTTGACCAGAGTTATTCACAAAAGAAATTTACTAGAACTTGATTATGGAATTACAAATTTTAGGGAAAGGGAACCTTTCCCTTTGCATGAAACACACTTAAAACAGAAACACATTGAAGGTTTGACAGTCAAACAATCAGGGATACATACAGGGCCACATTAAAAAGCCATCGGGCCTGGTGCTGACAATTATAATGGGTCTCATTACGGAATCTTATTGACAAAAAACACTAAAACAGTCATACCTCCCATGTGTCATGTATCTGGAGGTGGTGCTAGAGGGAAACTCACAGGACTGAGCTATAAGAAAACACATATCCTATGATAATCTCTCACTTTCATCTCTCAAGTAAATACATATGCCTTAACAGCAGTGTCCGGTGAAGCAGGATGTCGGGGGTGGGGTAAAAGCATGGGCTACTGACGCGAATCACATAACCGACATGCCCAAAAAAGGTGGCATGTCTGCCCGAAGAATTGGAAGGCCAGTCTGGCGTGAATGCATTTTTAGCTGGCTGGTTAACTAAGGGTGTGCTATACAGACAGTTCTCTGAGTTTGGCATAAATGCATCTATTGATGAGCTCGCTCCACACTTTCTAAGCCCTGTTCCCTAACACTCACTTGCAGGGACAATTCTCAATTTACGCATTGCAACACTTAGAGGAAGTAATCTCAGATCACGTCCTCCCCGCACTTGTGAACGGGAATCCGCACTGGAGTAGAACAGCCTGCAGCAACTATTGCAGCTCCAGCCCTTCACCTGTACCTGGCCAGCCTGGTCCCCACAGGACTCCTCGGAAGCCGCTCACGCTGCCAGTTGTACACAAAGCAGAACCGAACCGAATTGCACATGTCTACCTACAAGCAGGCTCACATGCAATACCGCAAGCATCCTCACACATACATACACCCATACACCACCAAGCACACAATATAACATTTCATCCATTCCACAAGCAGTCTCCATTCATAGGTATCATACACAATACCACAAACTACCAGGGCCGTCTTTAACATGGGGCAAACGGGGCAGCTGCCCCGGGCTAAGTTACTGCTGGGGGGCCCGAAGCAGCTGCCCTGCGGGCCCTGCTGCCCTCAACCCTTTATTTTTCCCCTCCATAGGCCACCAGTGCAACCAAGGACATGCACATTAAAGAGGCCCACCGGGTGGCCCATGCACTAAGTGTAACGGATCGCCTGGCACCCCGACTGGGTACCTCCGTTAAAGGATGCTCCTAGCACTTCCTGAGGACTCCAAGCACTGCAGCAGACACCAAAACCACCGAACCGGAGCAACAAATAAATTCTCCCAAGCATATGAATCACATCACAGTTACATCCCACATATTCCCTCCCCTTATCCTGAGAGGAAACTCAATTATACATACCGTTAAAACATACTTTCTACCCAACTTTCATAACTCCAAAACCATACATCACATTCACATAAAATTACATATTCACAATCAATCCATTCAGGGGAACAACATATTCAAAAATGGCACAAATCAGACAAGGGGTTCAAAAGTTAGTAAAAGTCCTTTGTGACTAAATGAAGCATGGCTTTCTGGCCCAAACCAGTTTCAGAGTCTTCTATCCTGGAAATAAGTAATTCAATTATCTCCCAGGACAGACACAAGACTCCATTAAGCACATGGTTGCAAAAAGACACAAAACACTTTAAAATACATAAAGTCACATTTACACATAACACACAGACATTTCACATATCCCCAGATAGCTGGGATCTGAGTGCACATTATTAGATGAATGGCACTCAGATCACACAAATAAGCCTTTCTGCAGGGGAAATAAACGGTTTAACCTGCAGGGCCATAGTCCAAAGGGAGCAGGCGAGCAACCAGGCTTCTCCAGTTCACAGTGGCGAGGTTGGTTTCGCCACACTTCTCCCCTTTACCAACTAGACTAACAGG